CTTCTTTTTTCCTTTTTTTCTTTTTTTTTTTTCTTTTTTTTTTCTTTTTTTGACTTTATAGTCTCTCAGAACAAGGTTTGTGAAGCTCTATGACTTTGAATCCCAAACAATCCCCAAATCCCAGGGCCAAATGTATGGAGATGGAGCGAATCAAGCTGGAAAATTTGCCTAGTAAACACAGACAGGGATGCAGCTTTGACAAGTACGATAGCACTTGGCATGCTTGTCCATGCATTGGCAAGATATGTCCTTGGTAGGCAATAGCCTTGAGGCTGCTGTCCAAGTAATCAAATGATGTCAAAATGATTTAAAATTAGCAGCTGGAGTCGTGACTCTGGCCACCAGCTGGAAAGCCTGCATCTACAGATTTGATCTAACATCTTGCTCTCCTGAGGAAATGAACTGAGAAGAGTGATTTTTTCTTTTTTCTTTTTTCTTTTTCTTTTTTCTTTTTTTGGCTAGTATTTCAGCATTGCTGTTTATTAGCCTGGTGGCTTTATGAAGTCTAGACTGGTTTATTTCAGCCGTTCAGCATCTGCAAACGTGCTTTCTCAAATTATTGTGCTTTTGCATTGCTTCTGACACCAGTGAATTTATTAATGGGGTGAACTGGATCAAGCTTTTCTTAGGAAAAAAAAAAAAAGGAATTTGAATATGTAGAGCCAATATCTGAAATGCTTTTACTGATCTTAACATTGGCTGTGCCAATGGAGAGCGCTCACAAGAACGCATCCTTCAAGAATCTCAAACTTTTAAACCTCCGTCTCCACTGTCTTATTTTGCTGGGGTTTCTTTTTTTGCCATAAACGTGTTTTTATTTTCTCTCTCTCGGTTCTGTTTGTGCTCTCCCAGCTGCCTGAAGGCCAGCGAGAAACAAGCATCGTGTTGCACACGTGTTGTGTGACCAGTGGCCTTGGCTTGACTGGGGGGCTGCCAGGCTGTAACAACACTGCGCGGTGCTCAGATGCTCCTGGTTGTCCACATCCATCAGGGACACACAAGCTCCAGAAGAAAGATTTCCTTTTGCATTAGCCTCCCTGGCAAGCGCTTCAGTTCCTGGAATTTTTGCACAGTCGCATGTGAGCTGTTAAAAGGGCTCGTGTGTGTAAAGGAGAAAGCATCCCCGGTCTTATGGGCTGTGATTCCAGGTTGTTTCTCTTGAGAAACAATTACCAAAAAAGCGAACTTTTGCCTCAACAGGAAGGGGGTTTTAGGTGGGACCGCGGCCACCTGGTGCATGGAAGCCAGCTCCGTTTGCAGGCGCTGCAGAGGGATCCAGCGCTTCCATCCCTCCGTTTCCCGACACATCCTGTGAACCGGCCAGATCTCCCTGCAGAGCCCACGCAGGCAGGGTCCCTGAGCCTGGAAAGCGACTGGGTTTTGAAATGCTGGTTTTGGAAATGCCAGTTTTTGAAAAACAAGGCCGCTCCTGGTGTGGGGGAAGGGAAGGGCTATTCACACCCGTGCACAAACTTCCCTTTTTCCTTCTCAAATGTAGTGCCCGTCCCTTTTCTTTCACATTTAAAACGCCAGTGCTGCAAATGCTCCTCCATTCCCAGTGCCTTTGGGGTGAATCCCTGTAATTACTGTTCTTTATTATTTCTTTATTATTTTATTAATTAATATTATTGATTATTTATTGTTTTAGCACAGGCAGGCTGGCTGCGGAGGCTTTCAGCAGACACCAGGGCTGTCGAATGGGCAGTAGCTGGAGTGTGCTGATAGTCCAAGTGACTTCCTACCTCGTGTGCATTTTGATTATTTCCAAGGAACAACATTTTAGCAAGGGCTAAATGCAGCATTTCCTGCTCCTTGGTGCCGTCTCCTGATGGGCACGAAGCCGGGGGTAGGAGAGGGCGAGGGAAGCGGGTAGCTGGGTGTCAGCGCATGGGAACGGGCATGGAGCACGGCCGCCACGAGGATGTGGTGCTGTTTTGGGGAGGAAACGTCGTGTTCTTGACCTCTCCCGCCGCCGCTGGCCGTGGTTCCTGTTGCGCTGCCCTGCATCGCTTCCTGCCCGAATTCCTCCCATTGCTGTTTCTTCCTCCCAGTGCACAAAAAAAAACACCCATAAACCCTCCTGAGCTCTGTGTTTGGAGAGGATTTAGCCCTTACCTTGCAGTCGCAGGCCAGGCTTGCCCGGGAATTAGCTGGGCTCCGTGCAGTGGAACCGGTCACAACCCCAGCCAAGGGCACCAGGACGCAGCTGGCAGAGGGATCGTGGAGTCATTGTGGTTGGAAAAGGTCTCCAAGGTCATCAAGTCCGACTGTAAGCCCATCACCCCCGTGCCTGCTGATCCCTGTCCCCAAGCGCCTCATCCAGCACTGCCGGGGATGGTGACCCCAGCCCTTCCCTGGCAGCCTCTCCAAGGCTTCACCACTCTTTCCATGTGGAATATCTTCCCTGTGTCCAACCTGAACCTCCCCTGGCTCATAAAGGGGTTCCTGTGGTCAATGCAGGCGTATTTCTCAACAAGACCGGCCTCAGCTGCTTTGGGACAACTCTGTCTACGTTCAATTTATGAACATAATTTATTTCTGCTGCTCTGGTGGGTGAATCGGGTATCAAAGCCTCCTAATAGTCGTGTCGTGCTGCCTCCGAGGCACCTTGCACCCTTCTGTGCGCTTTGGTGGGTCTCTCATCTCCAGCCAGAACAAGTACAAGTTGGAGGGTAGCACTGACATGCCTTCTTCTAGATGAATAACCAAGAAAAAGGCACTAGCCTCAAGCATTTCCACTTCCTAGTTATATTAGTAGACCTGTATTGTAGCATGTACGGGGTTCTTTGCAAGGATCCCTTCCCTAGGATCCCTTCTCAGGAGGGTGCACAACCTCATGTGTCCATAGCCAGGCTCCTGGTAATGCATTCTGCTAAATGCATTCTGCTAAATGCAGCCCTATCGTGGGCTCCCTGTCCCCCTGTGCCACCTATCACGGTGAGTTCATGCATGCTTGCCGCTGGTGTGTAAATATGTAAAAACACAGTGTACGTCCCACATCCTTTGAAAGGGCTTGGAGAAGCCGTCAGCAAATGCAAACAGGAACGGGCAGCGCCAGGACCTAACAGAGGTACCTGTGTGTGTTCTCACCCCAGTGGAGGAGGGCGAGAGGCAACAGCTGCCACATCTCTATGGGCTGATTCACAGCCCCGTGATTTTGGGTGCAGAGCTGGGTTTTTATGGCCGGCGTGGAGGCTGCCGCGCTCCCGTCTGCCGCGAACGGGCTGCTCTTTATTGGCCGGGCGTGCACGCAGAGCGAGGCTTTATGAGAAGATGTGAATGGGTTTATGGGCTCGCCAGCGCTGGGAACGGCATGTGGCAGAGCGGGAGGCCCTTCTCTGAAGAGCTGAGATTCTTCTACAAGGAGCTGTGTCGCTTCTCCGGTTGTTGTGCCATGGAGGGTCCAGCTTAAGCGGCCAGGAGCAAGTTCTGTGGAAGGGGAATGGTCTCCAGTCGGGGCAATGAATATTGAGAAGACCAAGGCCACCTCAGCCCCTCTGCTTGCGTGTCCAAGGGCTTGGTGGCCACCTCCTGCCTCCCAGCCCATGTGTTGTCATTGCGGTCCCCAAAACCCATCGGATTTCTCCTGCCGGGACACAGTATTAGGAGCTGGCTCCTGGCAGATGGGCACATCAGGAGCGCCTCTTTCTCCTCCCTCCTGGATGTTCCTCACCTTTAAATAGCTCAGAAGCTCTTGTCCTACCCGGGGTGCCAGTGGGGGCCTCTCAGTTTTACATACCCGTTTTGGCAGGGATTATTTTGGCAGTTTCAATACCTGCCATGCTGAAACTGAATACAGGAGTTGCCAACCTGCATGCAAATGCAGACCTGTTTTTTAATTTTTTTTTAGCAGCTCTATCACACAATTTTTTTTTTTTTTGCCAAAAGAAAGACCCATAACGCGTGTGCCTACAAAACACTGAAAGCATCTGCAAGATGCAGGGGGTTTCGTTCGCTTTGCATGTGGCCGGTGTTGGCGTAAGTGCCTACGTTGGCAGGGGAGCGGGGCTGCTCTGGGAGCGCCCGGCGTTGGGTGGGAGAGGGCACGGCCGGTTTCATGGTGCACGTGCAAAGGCAACATCCCCATTCCATTGCCCTGCAGACATCAGGGTTTTCCACAGCCGTGGCACATCTATGGCTTTTTTAGGGACACCAGCGGGCTCTTGTTGAGCAGCGTTGTCCCTCTTTTCCATTGCCCGGGGCGCTGCCTGTGTGTAAGGACTGATCCTGGTGTAAAGGGTGTCCATCCAGTGAAATAACCTGCGTGCCTCCCGGGCACCTTGCTGACCCGCTCCCCGTTGTGCTTCCTTGCAGTCGGCACGCTGCGTGTGGAGTTTTCCCAGCCTGTGAACCTGGAAGAAGTGGCAAGAACGAACCCCGAGGTGAAAACAGGAGGTCATTTTGCCCCCAAGGACTGCACAGCACTTCAGAAAGTGGCAATCATTATACCGTTCAGGAACCGCGAGGAACACCTGAAATACTGGCTCTATTACCTACACCCGATTCTGCAAAGGCAGCAGCTGGACTATGGCGTGTATGTGATCAACCAGGTAAGGGGCTGCGGAGTTTTAAAGCACTCGTGTCAGTGTGCCCGTGCTGCCCTGAAACGGAGGATCAGGGTCTGTGTCCCGGATGCCAGTGGGCTGGTGGAGATGGGTAAGATCCCTTCACAAACTCAGAAATAAAGAAAAAGCCGTAGCGCAGTAGGAGAGAGAGTGAAGATGAGCAATTCTGATGATTTTTGATTGAAGATTTGGCACCCTCTTTCCGCAGTCAGCCAGAGAGAGCAGTGAAGAGGTTCTGCTTGGAGAAGTCATTCATTGAGAGGGGAATGAAATCCCACTAAGTGCACAGCCTAGCCTGTGCCAGGTGGTGCACACCCAGGCCTGAAAGGTGAGCAGGGAGCAACGATGCTTCGTTGGGCACTGCGAGTGCCGTAGAGCTGTAGGGTTTCCCTCACTCGAGCGAGTTGTGTCCGTGTGAGCAGCAGTGCACAAAGCACCAGGATGGGCAAAGCTGGCATGGTGCAGGAGGTAAGTGGTTGCCTTTAGGAAGGAGAGCAGAAAATAGTGACAGGTTTTGGCTTTTGGTGTTTTTGTTTTTCTGTATTTGTTGGTTTTGGAGCTGTCTTTAAAATAAAATGGCACATTTCTCTCCAAACAATCTTGGAGATTCAAGACAAAATTGGAGATCACACCGTCATGGTGGTTAGACAACAGTGCTCTCCTCCTGTACATGTTGGAGCTTAAAATGTTGGGATCACTGTTTGGAAAGGGGAATGATAGTTGCCCTTTCCAGCAAAGACTTCTGCCTGGAAGATGTTGCAGCCTAGTTGCTTTCCTTGAGAATATGTACTTGTAACTTGTACTTAATCTCAGTTTTCATGAACCTGAGAAAGAATACGCTTCCTGAAACGTCATGCTGTGTAGATTTTCAGATCTGCCAGTGTGACTGGGTGTACCAGGCATGCTGAATATTCAGAATTATTGCCCAAGTCATGAATTTCGATACAGAAATGAGAAATAGGGGAGACTCTCTTTTTTTCTAGAAAGAAAACCAGTAGTTGGTTACTGCCATTTCTCTTACTTTGCTCATTTCCAGGGTTCCAGAGAACTGGTAAAAAAAAAAAGTGGTTTGTGGGGAGCTAGTGATAGCTTCTAGGAACAGAAGCTGAAATATTCTACGTGCTAATACATGCCACTGAAAGCATTTGTGGGTAGCAGCCCCCCGAAATGCATTCCTGTATGGTGTAGAGGAGCCCATGGGCACTGCAGAGACCACCTCGTAGCTCATGGGATCGCAGAGCAGCACGCCTCCCTTTCCCAAGCGTTGGTTAGAGACCAGGGAGTAGCAGGAACACGAGTTTCCCCGCGGTCTGATGGCTGGGAATGCTGCTTTTGCTATGGATCGGTGTCCAACCCGTCAGAACTACTGCTGGAGATATAATTCCTTGGAAAACTGCTGGAGACCGGGCAGGCCCTGCTGGTGAGGGGTGCCCTAAAGGGGTGGGGATGACGGGGTGCTTGTCCGTGGGGAGAGGCCAAGGGAAGGAAGGGAGCTCCGCGGCGGCGCTGCGCGGGTGCCCACGGCTGCATGCGGCTGCCGAGCTGCTGCTGCTGCGAGCCTGCATGCCGCCTTGCATCGCCCTGCTCTGCATCTCTGCTCTGCTCTGGTGCTCCGCTGCAGCCCTGCGCCCCGGGGCACGTGCTCCCGAAGGAGCCTTTCCGAAGGGTCGCCACACCGCACCGGCTGGGCGGGCTTGGAGCGGGGGAAGTGACCCGTGCACGTGGTGTGTTTGTGTGTGCTGCATACGGGTGTATGTATACGCACACACACATACGTCCTAGGAGTGTCCTGCAGTTGGAGGCAGGCTACAGCAAGTGCGACCAGGTGATCTGCGGCATAAATGCGCTCCTCCTGCATGCCTTCAAAAAGTTGTGCCAGTGCCAGCCAAGCAGCCAGGTGCCTCTCCCGAGGGTGAGCGGGAGCCTGAACGGAGAGAGTTGCAGGAAATGTGTTAATTCTGCCAGGCGCGCAGTAGGAAAATGCTCTTATTTCTCTGCTCTCTTGACAATTGCTTTTCTGTTTTTCTTGTCTGTCCTTCCCTTTGCATCTCTCCTCCCCCTTTTTTTTTTTTTTTATTTTTCCTTCTAGTGGGGAAATATTACCTTTACTTGTTAATCCTGTCTATAGCAAAGCAATCACTGAAGCAAGGAGAATTACTGTGTGATCTGATTCTTACACGCTGCCTACGTGCTCTTCTGTACTCTGCATCTCATAGAAAGAAAGAGGAGCGCTGAGCCCTGCTACTGCTACACTGGTAATGTCAAACTTCTTCCTTCCAGCGCAATGCTTTCCAGTCGTGGCCCCCTGCACCTTCCTGCTCTTGTGTGTCTGAGTGCAAGCGAGTAGTGCTTGGCTGAGGGACTTGTAGAAATGCCCAGCGTGTGGCAGGAGCCCGTGGAAAATACTGTAGAGCAGGTTTCCTGCACCCTCACAGAACCCATCACATGCAATAGCCACTTTAAGGTTTTGTTTTAATGTGGCATGAAAAATAAACAGCTTTTTTTTTTTTTTTTTTGTAGCACCTCTTCAGTAACAACCAGAAATGTGTATTTAAAAAGCAGTATCAAATTCGCAAAATCTTCTTTTTTTCCTTCCCACGAGTTTGCAAAATATCCTTTTTGTCCCTGCGTCTGCAAACTCTCCTTTCTGTCCCATTCACAGCTCATTATCCTACGCGTTTGGCCACCAGTAAAACTGAAGCGAGCAGCAGTGCCAAGTGCCAAGTTGCGAGCTGCTGCATGCTTGTGTTTAGAGATTAACTTCCTTGCTGCGATCCCGCCTGTGCAAAATGCACGTGTAGCAGTGCGCCAAAATAAAAGACTTTTTTTGGGGGGAAAAAAAAAAAGAGCAGATCTGGTGAATTCTTGTGGAAACGGTGCAGTTTGCTGAGCTGTTTTTCCACGGGCCCCTGGCATTACCTGCAACATCCTCAGTGGGGTTTTCCTTTCCACGCTGTGTGTGTGTGTGTTTGTGTATGGGGTGACTGGAGCACCACGCCTGTCCCGTGACTTGCCCGGGTGTCACAGACCCATTCGCCCCTCGTTGGGAGGACGTGGGGCTGAGCTGCTCCGGGCTCACCCGTGTCGCCCCGTGTCGCCCGAGGAAGGAGATTCCCCAACTCTGCAGTGTGCCACAAATGCCTTTGATGTGTTTGTTGTCTTGTGAGTTCTTGGGTCCCTTGGTTTGGAGCTGCATGGGGTGAGAGCAGTAGCGCCCCTGTTAAGTGTTTGCCACGGATGCTGCTGGAGATCGAGGAGGGTGGAATGGTCATTGCACAGATGCTCAGTCATTGCATTTTATTTTCTAAAACATTATTTGGGAGAGGCCTGAAGTCCCACTCCTTGCAGCAGCATTAATCCGTAAGCATTACTTTCAAAAAATATGATTACCTAGATGACTTACAGTCTATCCCAGAGCATGAGACAGATAGGTCTGAGTCTTTGCTGATAACAAAATCAGCATGAAGAACTCTTCTTGCCTTTTTTTTTTGTTGCAACAATAGCAGCCAAAGGGTATAAAATTAAGATATTCTTCTAGAGCATGGCCAACACGTGCTTTGCGGTTTGAGTGCATTGCCCTGCACAAAGCCTTCTCCATGCCTGCACCAGGAAAAACCTCCTCCGGGGCGAGGAGGCCAAATTGCAGGAGTGTTGCTGCTCCAAGGGCGATTGCACCTTTGTTTGCAGTTTGACGGTAGCCTGAAAGCAAGCGTAGCTCCTGGTGCTGTTAGGGCCCACGGAAACCTCCCCTCCCCAAGCATTACTCTCAGGAGCTCTGCCATGGTCCAGAACAGTTTCATTTTGAGCATCTTTTTGTATTTTTTTTTTTCCTGAGGGCTTTCCAGGGACCAAGCCATGGGGTATCCTGCAGCTGGGACTCAGGGGTCCCTTTGCTGATGAGAGTATCTCCTGCTGCCGTGGCCTCAGCAGCTGTGCCGCTTCCCTTCTTGCTCCCTTTCCCAACCCTTTTGTTCAACTTTGCTTCCTTTTTTTTAATTTATTTTTTCCTGTGCTCAAGTCTTCACTGCTCTTGCTTATGCATGATGAGGATCATCTTCCCACCGCCTCAGTTACACTTTTATTTCAGGTGTAGGTGTTGAGAATTTGCTCAGATCCACCTCTGCTAAAGCTCACTCTTCCCAGTGAAGTCATTTAAGCCTGAGGCAGGTGCTGATTGCTTTTGAAAACCTTGGTTTGACACTTGCATGTTAAATCCCTCATTTGAGAAGTATTTGCGGTTGCTTTGAGAACCTGTGTTAGCTCTCAGCCCACAGATACATTAACCAGTCTGGATCAATCAGTTTCCAGACAGATTATTTATTAATCGGGCCAAACCATCCGGGGGAGGAGGTAAACGGGATGTTTTAAAGTGCTGCTCCTTGGGTACGGTATTTTATCTGTTCTTGATGCGCGTCCAACCCAGCTGCCCTGTGCCAGGTCTGGAGCGTGTAGCACGCTTGCAAGCCAACATGCTTGCACACATTCCTGGGCCCCGGAGCCAAGGGCAACAGCAGGGTCCTTTGGCTCAGAATCGCTCCTAGGGAGCGGAGAGAGAAAGATGGGTTGTGATAGAAGAGGGAGGCCTTGGTTGTTCAGTTTTCCTGCGTCTCCAAGGGTTGCTTCTCAGTGGGTAAAAACTTCAGTTTCCTGCAGCAATGCTCCATGAGTCCTCTTGTCCCTGCACTTTTACCCTTGCAGGGGCTGGGTTTGAAGCTGCAGCTGCAAGATGAGCTTTTGGGTCAGAAATACTTAAGACTCAAACCACTAGTACTCCAGTATTTCTGAGTATAATTCTGCTGTTACTGTTTTTGAAGAAACATGGGAGTGATTAGAGAACCCATACTTGTTCTCAGAGCCATGTGTGCTTTTGGGCCTAAGAAAGGCCAAACCTATTTCTCCTTGGACTCCTCATGGCTTGGGGAGGAGAGAAGAGAATATCCATCCCAGGTCACTGATCTCTGCAGACTAGTTTGTAAGCGAGATAAGTGGGGTACTGGCTTTTCTCAGGTCCTCCCCTTCATGGTGAGAACCCTCCCCATATCTGTATCTCATGAAACTTCTGAGTACATGGTATCTGGTGGAGGAGCTGTAGTCATTTTCCGAGAGAGCACCTTATCCCAAACCTTGGCATAAGCAGACGAATCCAGATGTCCTGGCTTTGGGGTGTCAGCCTCCTCACCCAGCTCGTGCACAACCTCAAAGAGTTTGGTGCAAACTCCACAGTGGGAGTAGGAGAGAGCAGCAGAGAGGGAGACTTTGGCTTGCGGTGCTCTCATGTGCCCTGCAAGTCAGCTCTTGTGTGTGCTTGGCATGTTGCTGAGAGCAGGATCTCAGAGCTATGTGTGACAGAGGTTAGTATCAAAGACCTGGCCTCCCCAAACCATGTTTTTTTTAACACATTCCTTGTCCTGGGGGCAACCAGAAGCATTGCCAAGGTTTCCCTCCATGCTGGTCATACTGAGGGTCCCTTCTTCCACGTGGGTTGTTTGTCTAGTCTCACTTTGTTTGGATTTGGTGTTTTCTCATGCTGTTCTGGGAAGCAGCAGGCAGTGGACCACTGCAGCCTACCTTCCTGCTTTCCACCCATGGCCCTCACTTGAGACTGCTACAGTCTGTGGCTACAGGTGAAAAAACCACAACCCCCCCCACTAAAATTAATCCTGAAATGCTAGTGAGGGGAAACAACCCTGCACAAAACACCCATCCCGAGCAGGAGAGTTGTTGCATTGTCCTGGCTCCGTGGGGCTGGGACCAGCCTCCTGACAATACCTGCTCCCGGTGCAACAGGTAAGAAACTGCTGATACCACCTGTGTCCTGCAAGGCACTTAACGTTTTTTCTTTGTTTTGAATTAGGATGGAGAAGAAGAATTTAACCGTGCTAAACTGCTGAATATAGGATTCGCAGAGGCTTTGAAAGAGTATGACTATGATTGCTTTGTGTTTAGTGACGTAGACCTAATCCCAATGGATGACAGGAACACCTACAAATGTTACAGCCAGCCGAGGCACCTCTCTGTGTCCATGGACAAATTTGGATTTCGGTGAGATGCTTCTTGAAGGGGCATTTTGTTCCTAGTGCAGCCGCTAGCATTCCAGAGCAGGCACAGGATTACAGCATCCCCACCCAGCATTGAGAGCCTGGGAAAATGTCTCTGGCAGGAGACTGCCTTGGCATGCATGTTCCTGCAGGGAATGGATAGCTGCAAGGAGGAGGAAGTGGGGAAGACGGAGCTAGGCAATTTATAAAAATTCACAGCCCCTGAAAAGTGAAAAGCAGGGCTGGGGCAAACTACAGGCTGTCTTTTTACAGATAGCTGTGTGTCTCTTGTTGCATTTCAAGCTGGAAGCTGGAAGACCAAGAGTGTTTTTGGTTCAGCTCAAAGAATGAGACGTTCTTACACAGTAAGAATGGCTTGCAACTTTAAAAAGACTGCATCAGATGTTATTTTAAGATCAAAACAAATATTTTTGTCTGTTCGATTCTGGGCCACTCGAGGATCTGCCCTGGAGTTTGAGGGCAACGCCAAACTAAATGCCTTTCAGCATACGTTTTAGTTCTGCATTCAACAAATGGAAGTGTGGGGTTTTTTTTCTCTTTTTTTTCCCTCTCTTTTCCCCCCAATGTGAGATATCTCAAGATAAATGGTGCTGTGGATGTGCATTTTTTCCATCCCCAATACCCTCTTGGTGAATCATCCCTGGTTCGTGAGGTATTACTCCATCACCTCACTTTTGGGTTGCAAAGCTGATTTTTGGGGCAGCACAAGTGGAGGGCGAAGGTGAAGGAGGCCAGTTTCCAGCCAGGGGTCTCAGGGGTGACACCTTGATGAGCTGGGGCACAGGGGCCATCGCTCTTTACCCATATGCTCTTTGGCTGGGCCTCATGGGTCTTGCCTGCTTGTCCCCTTGAGGAACCATGTTTTTTTCCACAAAGATTTGCCCACAGCAAGATGTTCTCCAGACGTATTTGCACTCAGGTCTTCCCGTGTGTGTGGCCGGATGTTTCCTAGGCCGTACTTCATGTGGAAAAGGCAACGTCCCACATCTTGCCCCGGTGTCCCCTGCCATGTGGCGGGGTTGATAACATGGTGATAACATGGTGGTTCCCCACGTTATCCCACACTTGGCCTAGCCTTGGGTTGGCATGTCAGGAGGTAACACGGGCCCTTGTGTGGCGGGCCTGCCTGATGGTGAGGAAATCTGCCATTTCGCCGGCCGCGTGGCCCGCTGATGGCCTGTCCCTCCCGCCCGCAGGTTGCCCTACAACCAGTACTTCGGAGGTGTGTCTGCTTTGAGCAAAGAGCAGTTCACCAAGATCAACGGGTTCCCCAACAACTACTGGGGCTGGGGTGGCGAGGACGATGACATTTACAACCGGTAAGTGCCCACCGTGGCGCTGTTTCACCCGAGCGGGACTGGCGCCATGTCATGTCTGGTAGGGTAGAGCGTGTCCAACTGGATCTTCAAGCCGGAGCAGAGCCTCTCCGTTGCAAAATAATAATAAAAAAAAAAAAAAGAGCCCAAAACATGCTCTGCAGCTTGGCTTTTTACCCAGCAAGGCTGTGTTTGTCAAGTTTGAACCAGTCCTAAAGAGCATGGCGAGCTTTTGTTTCCTACCTGGAGCAAAGGTGAGCGCGCGGCACATGGAGCTGCAGGGTAGGAGTCAGGTATTTGCACAGCGTAGGCTGGATCCATTAGTGCCTGAAGATCAAGGGAGAGCATGTCTGCGGGGCTGGGTTACGTGCCCTGGAGAGGCAGGACCGGAAGAGAGGGATTTTGAGAAATCTTCATGACATCTTGGACCTCAGGGGCTTTTAATCGAGTTTCTTGGCTGCAGAATGGACTCTGCCATGGTCATCTTTGCCTGGGTTTTATAAATTATCCTGAACTCGGGAAAAGTCTTAATAAAAATGCTTCTACCTTCCTGAGGTAGATGTGGTTTTAAGCACTTCTATGCTGAGATAAATCAAGTAAGAGACAACTTCTGGTGGGCCACAGCATTGAAAGAAAAGTGATGGTCCTTTTTTTTTCAAAAAAAAATATTATTATTATTTGGTGGCATTATGATTTTGAAAGCTATGGAGGCCAAAAGGAGAAGAAATGGTGCACAATTTCAGCCCTGGTGTTCACAATCCGTGCACCGATGAATTGAGACAGAATTGTAGATAATCACCTTGCCAGATAATATTGAATTGAGAGAGCTGTCCTTGGGCCTGGGGGCACTTACAGGAGTCACTTATGCCCTGGGCATCTTGGTTGTGCAGGACTGGAAGGGGCCAGTTTTTTTCCGCCCACCCTGGAATGTCTCCCATTCCCTGTCTCCCAGGGAGGTCTGCAAGAGGAATTGCTCATGAGCTGAAAGTACCAGAAATTTTGAACTTGATGCCTGAGGGTGGTCGTGGGACTTTAATACTGATCTTCTGACCAACCTGAAAGTGGTTTTGAAAATGGAGTTGTTGGTAGAAAGAGCTGCAGGAGAAGCTCTTGGACCTGCTCTAGCTGTCCCATTCTTCTCCCTGCACATCCCATTTTACAGCCTGGCTTTACTGTATGGGTGCAGAGCTGGGATGTTTTGCCCATCCCTTCTACAGTATAGCAAGCAGCCTATAGAATTAGAGGTGAATTGGCCCGCTTGTCGTAAATTTTCAATGTACTTTTTTTTTTTTTCCTTTCAGGCTGGTATTTAAAGGTATGGGGATATCTCGGCCGGATGCTGTCATTGGGAAATGCAGGATGATTCGTCATTCCAGGGACCGTAAAAACGAGCCCAACCCAGAAAGGTGCGTGCACGAGCTTCTCTGTTCCTCCACAGATGAACTCAAGGGAAGTGTCCTTGCTGCCCTCTGAAATACGTAACTTTCTCTTGTTGGTGTAAAACTGATTGCAAGTCTGCTGCAACCCCTTCTTGCCGAGCTCTCTCTTCCACAGGCTGTAAGCTGCCCCTTCCCATAGCCAGTCATTTATTACCCTTTACCAATCTTTGTTGTCACCCCCAGGTTTTTGCTCTGCACAAATACCAGTTGCCTTTTCTTTCTGCCGCTGATCTCAACTGATACACATCGCTTTAAACTCTGAGCAGTTGTTCCCAGCTTTATCTTCGGTGTTCAAAGCCCTTGCTTTTAGTACAGACCTGACGAAGGATCTGCGTGCCTCCAGGCTTGGCTGTTTTTCCTAACTAAAAGCTATTCCCTCGGAGCCTTCTCAGGCATGCATGTGCCTGCTGCTCAGTCTGGCCAAGTTTATGGGATCCGCAGTGATGTTCGAATTGGATCTTAAAACACTAAAACCTCTGTAGTCTGTGAGGCTATAAAAATGTGGACTTAGGGTTGTTCAAACACAATTCTCTTTCTCTCTCTTTTTTTCTCTCCTTCCTCAGGTTTGACCGAATTGCCCACACAAGGGAGACAATGAATTCTGATGGCTTAAACACACTATCATACAAGGTGATAAAAAATGACAAATACCCTTTGTACACAAAGATCACAGTGGATATTGGCTCGCCAAATAGCTAACATCACAGACACAAGAGAGACCTTGTGTGTGTTGCCCTGGACATCTGGCCTTGCCAATGTTTTGTATCGACTGGTTCTTTTGCAGTTGCAATGAAGAAAAAGAAAGGCCTCCTCTGATGCCAAAGCCTCTCCAATTTGGTTGGACAAATGCAGGTTTTTTTATATCCCAAACTTGACTTTACACAACTTTCTAGCTCTCCATTGCTTTGTAATCCCAGAAGCTGAACATGAGCATTGTAGATAATCACATTGCCAGATAATGTTGAATCTGATATCTTTGCTGCAGTGCTCCCCATGTTAATTGCTGGACCAAAAATTTTATTGATTACAACTGTGATGCATCAGCAATTACTACCCATGTTATTCTGATGTTTTAAATTAGGTAGACAAAAACATTCCTTTTAATTTGTGCCTGGTTTTACCTTATGAAGGACTGTGAAATGCTGCTAAAATTGTACAAGTTTACACTTTGCATTACATTTTTTAACAGAGAGAATATAAAGTATTTTTTCTGTAATAGTGACCAAAACAAAACACCTTCTCTGTGTGCAGGGCAAGTTTTTGCAAAATATAGTCTAGATTAATTGAATGTCGTATTTCTTCTAGTCTCAAAGGAGGCTTTGAGTGAGTTGAGCCAGCCTTTGCCAGTGAGCTCTGTGTACTGCTTGAGAGCTACACAGTGATCTACAAAACTGCTGGCTTCAGATAACCTTACTTCTGGATGCAATGGTGACTTTTTGCCTTAGCACAGCAAGATCCTTGGGGCTTTTTTTTTTTCCCTCTGTAGTAAAAACAAATGGGTTTAATTGCATAAGGAAATTTGCTGACACTTGTTGACAGTGGTTACTAGACTGTTTAACCATTGTGTGAATCCTCCAAAAGCAAATTCGAGCTTGCCAGGCTGTGCATCAAAAAAACTTGAATTCACTATTACTTTTGTAACATTTTAGTAACTTTTAAAAGTAATTTGTGTATCATAAGCAGTATATTTAATACCTGAGTAAACTAAGATGCAGCATAATAGGATGTTTCTCAAAGCCTCCTTTATCTTCAGACTAGTAGGGATTTTAAGTGCATCATTATGTAAAAGCCATGTATTGTATTTCATCTGCATATTGTCCACGAGGTCTCCCACACTGTGAGGTAATAACAGGACATCCAGCAGGTTGTGGGTTTTCTTTTTCCCTTTTTTTTTTTTTTGGTCAGAGGCCTGTTGTGACCTCTGACCCTTAGTGGGAAATTCCCTTTTAATTTTCCCCAGCAGTGAGGAACATGCACATTTTTAGAGTGCTCATTGTCAAGGCACCGGCAGAAGCTGCACGAACACCTTGCTTTTCCTTCTTGTAACTGTAAGAAAGCCTCACATGCTGATTCCCTCGGAGCTCCTTTAAATGATTTAAAGCTCTCAGCCAGGGCTGAGAACTTAATCCCTTCTGGGTTTCGGTGAGCACTTTGCCACCAGCTCTGACCACAGCAATTTGCACTTCCTTGGCCTGCGCTGAAGGCTGTTGAAATCAGGGACACTTGATATATTGGGGATCGTCTTCAGCGCTACCTGCTCTTTTGTCACGACCTGAAGGTTTTGCCCAACTCTCATGTTGCAGGGGAAGGGACCTGGGCAAGGGGATGAGGGTCTTGCTTTCCACACTTGTCAGGCATGCTGGTACTGCCTCCAGGCTTCCTATTAAGCTAATAATAGCTGCAAGGACCAAGACAGGCTCTATTTATTAGAGACGCCCAGTTGCCTGGTGTGCCTTGTTTCCAAAACAAGCGTACCCACCTCACTGAAAGGCTGTTGCGAGCCGGGATTGCGGCTCGAGCCCTGCTGGGAGCTCGCAAGGGTGGGCTTGCACATCTGCTGAGCTCGGCAGCAGGCAACAGCAAGGACTGAGGAAGCAGCCTTGTGTTCACGAGCTGCTCTCTTCTGCTCAATGCCACGTCGAATAAAGATTACTCCTTTTGGGCAAACCAAGCAGAAGGGGCTACAAGAATAGGATGCATTCCAGAAATCAGGTGAAATTTCCAACTGTAAAACCGTGATGTAACCATAGGCTGTGCCAATAGCTAAGACATAAGTGAGGGCTTTTTTTTTTGTTGTTTTGTTTTCCAATGGTGCCTTAAAAACTGGGCCCCTGCTTCCATAGGTGGCAGATCAGTACCAAAAATCATCAAGGCTCCGATTAAAAGCCCAAGTCCCTGCAGAGATCTCCCCTGATGTCATTCTGAGCCTTTTGCAAGTTGAGGAGTTGGGACCTTCAAGCATATTCATGTCTGTCTGCTCTACAGACAGTGCAAAGGGGGTTATCTATCATATTTGATGTTTGTTTGTTTGTTTGTTTGTTTCTTCTTGCCTTAAGATTTTCTGAAGATCAGAAAAGGTTAGTGTAGTGAGTTTTTGTTCTGCTGTATGCTGAAATAATTAAATATCATCCAGGCGGTGTGAACACTGTTGCAATCAAAGTTTTCTGCAAATGTGCCTTGAAAGAGGGGGAGAGAAGTGGAAACTGGAAAATGTGAAAAGAAACCTGAAAACCATTTTCAGCATGGAAACTTCAGTGGTGCAAGAAGCTATCACGTAGTTTTTCTTCTAATGCTAAAGCCATAAGCTATTTAAAAGCTGAAGCTGTCTGTCCTTATTTGTTTCACCCTTTGGTGCTGACCCATGATCTCCTGAGCTCATTGTCCCTGTGTAAACTGTGTAGGTCAAACTTGTGAAACATTTTTGATTTAACCAGGTCATGAAATTTCTCTCTCTGGGATTTTCAGGAGCTTTTGCGACAGGGGTTGATGTTATACAGAAACAAATTCTGACCATGACCTGAGCTGGGTGATGTTTTTCCATTCAAGTACTGGCAGCAACACTCAGTGATACTGTGTATTAAGGGTTCAAGTCCAGAACAAATAGCAGCAAAGGAAATGCTAATGGTTGGTTTCTTTGGAATTGATGTTTAGAATAAGAGAGCGTCCTGGCATACAGCTTTTCCCCTGGATGTTACTTATTTACTGGACTGCTTATGGGTTTCCTAAAGATGGTTGTGCTTTGCATTTTTTTTATCATTTATATATCAACAGATGTGTAATCTAATGTTCCTACTTTACTGTCAAGGTCAAATAAAGTATTTTCATTTACAGTGTTTGGCAGCTTTTCTCCAAAGAGACAGCCTTTTCCATCTGTTCTCTAGCTGGCCGGGTTTGTAGCTGGTGAGGGGGTTGGGCCCGGCCGTTGCCTCCTTGTCTTGGAACTTATTCCAGCATTTTTCCCAGATGTTAGGGAAAGTGTCTGCACCCACTCCCCACTGTAAATCCAACCTATCACCGCTGGGGAACAGCTGGGCTGGAGCTAGTTTCTTTCTTTGCCCTGTGAACTCTTTGGAACCAAGAGGAGAAGTTGACCCTGTGGACAACCCCAAGAAGCCCCAGGGTCAGTTTATTTCCCTTATTGCTGGAGGGACAACATGCACAGCCTGCTTGAAGCAGGCAGGACAAGCCTGTGGAAGGACAAGCCCGAAGCAGACAAGCCCTGGGTTGTCAGCAATCCGGGTCGCTGCTTGTGGGTTTGGCTGCGGCGTCGGGAAATGGAGAAATCGTCCTGGTAAAAACTGATGCGAGTGCGACTGCAAGAACTTCGCCTGTGCTACTTGGCACTTTTTCATTTAAAAAGAAAAAAAAAAAGGAAAAAACAGATCTTCCTGGCTGCAAGATGGGGGCTAAGGCAGGCCGGTTGCATTGAGGTCCCTGTAGCTCTCCAGAATGGTTTTCCCATTCCTGGAGTAGGAGAGGGAAGCCTGGTGTGTGCCTGAGCCTGCCTGCCCACCACATCCGCAGCAAGTTCTGGTGGGGGGCGCTGACCTGCTTGGTTTCGTTGGTCAAGGGAAGGAGCCACGTGCCTCCAGGGACAGCTTTGGGGAGCAAGGACAGTTCAGATGTCTCTCAGCGAGGGCATCGTCACTCGGAGTGGGCACAGTACGGGGTTTGGTAAGGATGTGATGGGGAGCACTGTTGGTCCCTGTGTCATCTTTCATTACTTGTGTCTTCAAAGGCATTGCACTGCAAAAATGGGCTTTTTCTTCCCAGGGTTCTCTTTTTTTGAGTGCTGATGCACAGGAAAAGGATCCAGGAGGAACAAGAGAAATGCAAGGGGTTCTTCCACTTTCTGCCATTGCTGTGCTCATATTATGGAGCTATTCCTCTCCTCTTCTGCTTCAGAAGGGGTGCAAGGGATGAGAAAATGGCCAGGAGCCACCCCTCTGATGGGCTTTAAGATGTCCCACCTGGAAATCTTTTCCCTTGGTGAAAAGGAGAGCTGAGGAGCGTCGCTAGGATCTCACCCTTCTCTCCGCCCTGGGCCCTGTGTGTGGTCACCCGTGCTGCCAGGCCTTCCCGGATCAGATTGGCATGTGTGTTTGCAAAGGATCCCATTACTTTTTGTTGTGGTGAGAACATGTTTGCTCTAGCGCCGTTTCCCTTCCCACCTCCAGCTTGACCTGCGTGCCAAAGATCCAAGAGGGGCGAGCGGGCATCTCTGACGTGCATCACGGTTGTGTTTACCCTGCTGCACCTTCCTCCTCTGCTGCCTAGGCAAACAAAGGGGAGGCTGTTGTTAGAAGGAAAAAAAAAAGAAAAAGAAAGAAAAGGGACTAAGCTGAAGCTTGCTCACCCCTTTCACCCTCTTGGAAGGAATCTGAAGTGGGCATTTGCTCTTGCTCCGTGTGTTGCTCAGTGCAGCAGTGCTGGCATTGGATCCGTGCTTATCCGCCTGTGTCCTGTTTGCAGGATGGCTGTGTTCTTCAGGGTGATGCACCCATGTGAGATCTCTTCTTCTGTTTGCGCTAAGACAACCGTTCTGCCCCTGGAGTCTGATTTGTTTTCCCATTCACTGTTTTGAGCCTCGCTGCCAGCAAAGCAGATGTTAGCACAGACAGACAAGATCTTTGCAGAGCCTCTGGTGACTTATTTCTCAAGCCTGGTCTAGATCTTGGAAAGAAGAAGCTGCACAGGGAATAGTAGGGACTGGAGTTAAATTTCTCTTTCTGTTGTACTCCTGCATGATCTCATGATTGGTCTGCATGACTTCTCCTCCACAGCTGGAGTTGGGAAAAGATATGCCAGGCAAGATGAGCAACTGGCTAAAATCACACGTGTGTCTGTGATTGTCCATGTCTAAATGGATTAGAGGCTGTAAAGGAATCCTCGGACATCCAGAACCTCCTTGCTTTAGGCTTGGGAGTGGGCTGGGAGGAACATTAGAGCAGTAAGAAACGCCTTGAGAGGACGAGAGCAAAGCCTCCTCTTAAGGTAGGGGTGTATGTGCAGCCTGTACTCCGTGGAACAGGTGAGAACGACCCACTTCTGAAGTCAGAGGTCATTCTTTTTGGTAAGTTCTCATCACCAAACCAACACTTCCTTCAACACAAAGCAAACTTACGTATATTTCTAATCTCTCTGTAACTGGAAACTCTGAACCTCTGTCTGAGGAGGGAGTGATGTGT